TTATAATGTGCATATTTGAAAAGTTTTGATAAGTCTTTATTCTATTTTCAGACAGATCCAAAATAATTGTGAGTAATAGTTCGTTGTTAAGGAGAGGTCCTTAGAAACCATGAATGTAAACAAAAAAAAAATTAAATGGTGTGGCGTCAAAAACTTTAAAAAATGTAGTGGGGTCTCCCCGAACATCCATATCAGACCGTTATCTGAGCATGGAGCCCGACAGGTCAGGAAATGGGGGGGACAAGTGAGAGCCCCCACCTACATCATACCAAGCCACATGCTCTCAACATGGGGGGGTGCTTTGGGGAGGGAGGCTCCCCCCAAAGCACCTTTTCCCCATGTCAATGTGGACAAGGGATTCTTCACCACAACCCTGGGCAATACTTGTGGGCGTGCAAGGGTGACTTATCGAATCTGGGAGCACCCTTTAACAAGGGGCCCCCCAGATCCTGGACCCTGTCTATGTGAATGAGTATGGGGTACATAATACCCCTACTCATTCTCCAAAAAAAAGGCCTAAAGTAAATGAAAACTCAGAGACAGTTTTTGACAAGTTCTTCATTAAAAGAAAACAAAAAACAAAAAACTAAAATAAATGTCCCCCCGACACAGTTTCAATGTCAATCACGATGAATGCTGACCCGCATGAGAAAAAAAAACTACCGCCCGCTGAACACAACACTGGCACTTGTTTCATTTACATTCTCCTGCCGTGGTTGCTAACCGCTTCCCGACCGCCCTATAGCAGATATAATGCTACAGGGCGGCAGAGGTGCGCAAAATCATGTATATATATGTGATTTTTCATTTCCAAGTAGGGGGTGCATGCAAGGCACGCACGCTCTACCACACCACCATTCGCGGCTGCAGCTCTCAATCACCGGGTCCCGGCCGGTGATTACTCGCCGGCGCCGGGTGATTGCCGAGCATTTCCGACAGGGAGGAGAACTGTATAAACAATACAGTTCTCCTCCCTGTCAGCTCATGCACACTGCTTAGGATGGCAGTGCACAGAACAGCCATACAAAGCAGTGTGATTACAGTGAAGCACACAGACAGAGCTTACAGTGAAACAGCACACAGTTTACCCTCATGTTAACCCCTTCTTGCCCAGGCCCTTAGTACAGGGTCAGTGCTTTTTTTTAGCACTGCTCACTGTTTTGGTGTCACTGGGGATGTCAGTGACACCAAGTCAGTTCCCCCCAGTGTCAGATTGCCCGCCGCAGTCCCACTATAAGTCGCTGATCACCGCCATTACTAGTAAAAAGTAAAAAACAAAAATTCCAGTATCTATACCGCCATTTGTAAATGCTATAACTTTCATGTAAACCAATGAATTTACATGTATTGGGATTTTTTTTGCAAAGACATGTAGCAGAATACATTTTGGTCTAAATTTATGAGGAAATTTGATTTTTAAACTTTTGTACTGGGCTTGTTTAATAGCAAAAAGTCAAAACTATTTTTTTTTCTCAAAATTGTAGGTCTTTTTTTTTTTTTTACTTTATAGTGCAAAAAATAAAAAATGTACAGGTGATCAAATACCACCAAAAGAAAGCTCAATTTGTGGAAACAAATGGACGTAAATATCATTTGGCCGTATATAAATATCATAGCGCCGTAATGCAAAAAATGGCCTGGTCAGGAAGGGGGGTAAATCCTCTGGAGGGCAAGTGGTTAAGGACACAGTGGCTGCCTGCTGCTTAGCAAACAGCTATTCACAATGAATCTGCATGTTATCGAACAAATTCAAAAATGTGACAGCATCCGAATAAAATGAATGCATTCATTTTTTTTCGTTATAACTTTTTTCAGATTCATTGCAATTCGTTTCTATGTCCTTTCAGAAATTCCAAGGCTCTCTCTGATCCAGGATTGTAAGAGTGACATCCAAGCATGCTAGTATCTCAGTCTTAAGCTTCTGATCATGGGCAGGATTGGATACCAAGTTGAAGTAAGCCTATTGGGGTTTACTAGTTAGAAAATTTGCAAAAAGCCTTGCCCACTGTGCTCCCTATTATTCTTTTGCAGCAAAGTGAGGACATATACTTCTACATCATCTGCCGCTGTCATTTTTTTTTGCTGGAATTAACTTTCACATACTACTTTGTGTACAGCAGGTACTGGAGGCATAGACACCTAACCTTGGGCCACCTTTTAGAAACACATTGAACCATATTTGAAACATCCTTCATATTAGAGGGTTACCTTCATCCGCCACTATATGTGTTAACTCACCCTTTTGGGATCACGTTTCCTGGAGTAATGCTTTAGAACAGCAATGGGCAAACTACGGCCCGCGGGCTGTATACGGCCCGGCGGACCTTTTAATCCGGCCCGCGGAGCTAGGCTCCCGCTAGGCTCCTCTCACAGTCCGCCCTGAAGACCGGTGTAGCATGAAAATCTGTCTCCTATGAGGATCTGTCCCCCTCGACGTATCTGCGCATGTGCCGGAGATCGCCGATCGGCTGCTAATGCCTGAAACTGGCACATGCGCAGATACGTCGAGGGGGACAGATCCTCATAGGAGACAGATTTTCATGCTACACCGGAACGGCGCGGGAACACGGCGAGAGGAACGCGCGGAGCAAAGGTAAGTGAATTGACACAGGGGGGACTTGGGGACTTAATATGGGGGATGAATTAATATGGGGAATGAATTACTATAGGGGGGATGAATTACTATGGGGGATGAATTACTATGGGGGATGAATTACTATAGGGGGGATGAATTACTATAGGGGGGATGAATTACTATATGGGGGATGAATTACTATATGGGGGATGAATTACTATATGGGGGATGAATTACTATGGGGGATGAATTACTATGGGGGATGGGGGATTACTATATGGGGGATGAATTACTATATGGGGGATGAATTACTATATGGGGGATGAATTACTATGGGGGATGAATTACTATATGGGGGATGAATTACTATGGGGATGAATTACTATGGGGGATGAATTACTATATGGGGGATGAATTACTATATGGGGGATGAATTACTATGGGGGATGAATTACTATGGGGGATGAATTACTATATGGGGGATGAATTACTATGGGGGATGAATTACTATATGGGGGATTAATTACTATGCTTACTATGGGGGAATATTACTATACTTACTATGGATGACACATACACATCATTCATCTACTCTTGGTCCGGCCCCCGGGTCCAATATATGAACCCATTGCGGCCCTCAAGTCAAAAAGTTTGCCCACCCCTGCTTTAGAAGGATGTATAAAATGTACAAGCTAACTTAAATAGCAGGCATTTTTCACATTGGCACAAACTGACACACAGCAAGCTTTATTTTTAAAATGTTGCAAAAAATAAAAAAAAAGGAAATAAATAAAAAATCCAAAATAAAGAAAATAAATCCTATCCTGTCAGGGATTTGCAGGAACCTCCCTATCTGTTGGTGGGCTGGACCCAGCCAACTCCAAAACAGAAATTTTCAGCAGCCTTACTTACATTCTCTGGAATTCATAAAGTGTGTCAAAAACTGAGTGTAGAAGTATATCTCGCATCTGCACCTGTCAGAAAAGTGTACATGAATATGTTGAAGAAATGTACCAGAATTGCTTAACGTGTGACACAATTTGATCCAAGTTTAAATAGGTCTTATTTACCTTTAGTTTGCCCATGGTAGAAAGTGAGAATAATAACCTATTCAAAACAACCAGCACACAGTGAACATAAAAATATATGTGAACCAAAAACCGAGCAATAGAATACCTAAATAATCAACCTAATAAACAGAAAGTCTAATCAACAACTAATTATATACAATAGATACAAAATGGGGAACACAGAAAAGCAGGGGAAAACTGGAGGTGCACGGAGCAGATGAGAAGGGTTAACCTAAACTGGGATCAGGAACAAGGGAGGGCAGGTACAAGGCAGCAGGGTACGTGGCAAGAGCAAGATCAGGATCAAAAGATTCCAGCAGCAGTAAAACACTGGAGCAGAAAGCACTAGTTACAGAGGGACATAAATATCTTCCCAGCAGCCAACATCAGGAGTAAACTGATTACTGGGATCTACTGGCTGCTGGGAAAAACCTGCTGGTGGACACCATAATTACAACCTTCCGCTCTGGGAAGCCACAGTTTTTTCCACCATAAGGTGATCCAGTTCTGACAGCTCCACCCTTCCTTAAGCATTCAATTGGGTCCAAAAGATTCAATTGGAACTCTTCCCTTCCCTAGAGGACCTCTACTATTGGGGCTGGTAATAGCAGATGCAGCTCTCATGTTCAAAGTGAGTATCTGTACCTCCCAGCCTTGGCACAACAGGAGCAAATGGCCGCAAAATAAATTCAGGACAGGCAACAAAAGGGATCTTAAACCAAACAAGTAACCCATGCAAGCCCTCAGACAAGAAATGGAGACTCGAAAGCTTCAACCCCATTGGCAGGCAGGAGTTCAACCCCATTAGCAGAGTCTAGCTGGCAGCAGATAATGAATCATCAAAATTCATTCTGGGGAGCAGCCCAGGAATCAGTAAAGTCTGGCTGGGCTACAGCTGAAGGAAGTTGTAAAATGATGCTGTTAAACTAAACCCAAGGGGCTGACAATATTTTAAGCTGGAACCCCAAATGTTCAATGTTCCATTGCTCTAGGGCTTCAGGTTTAAGTATGTTGGCTTTATTCCACTCTATTTGATTAGGAGTTAATTATTACAATAGTTGGCCATGCTTTTTCAGTTTTTCAAGAATTAGTTTTAAATGTATAGAGATACCCAAGTGGCTATTTGGAACTCCAAATGTCAATTTTTCCATTGCTCTATGGGCTTCAGTTTTAAATATGTTGGCTTATTCCACTCTATTTGATTAGGTGTTAATTATTACAATTAGAGATGAGCGAAGTATTCAAAAATTCGATTCGACTGATTCGGCGAATTCGTGGACAATATTCGATTCGAGTTGAATATATTCGCTGTGAATTTAACTTAAAAAAGGGTGTTTCTAGGCTTCAGAGAGACTTAATATTAGTGCAGAACACTGTACTTTAATTTAAATGCCCTTGGAGTCGCTGGGGAAGAGAAATAATACTGTCAGTCAGTATGACATGCAGATGAGTGCCGTCGATCTTAGAATCACCGCACACTTCACTCATTTGGCCAGTCACGGGGCCAAAACCAGTGTTGGAGCCACAGTGTGGCGGTGGATGGCAGCAGCAATGGGAGGCCATACAGCAACCTATGACAAAAAATGGAAACCAGAGGAGTGTGAGGAGACCTCAAAGTGGCACATGGCAGAGTAATGGGGCAATGGGAGGCGTACAGGACCCATGAAATACTCTGTCACACTGTGGACCCAGCAGCAGCATGAGAGGCGGTACGGGGCCCATGGCAGATTTGGGGCCTGGCAGCAGCAATGGGAGGCCCGCAATCTGCCAGCAACCTATGACAAAATGGAACAACACCAGCAGTGTGAGGAGACCTGAAAGTGGCACATGGCAGAGTGTGGCGATGGAGCAGCACAATGGGAGTCCGTACAGGGACCCATGAAGACTCTGGACCCAGCAGCAGCATGAGTGACCAGGCGGTATATAGGGGGCCCATGGCAGATTAAGGGGCCTGGCAGCAGCTATATGGGAGGCCGTAATCTGCCAGCACCCTATGACAAAAAAATTGAACAACACACCAGCATGTGTGAGGAGACCTGAAAGTGGCACATGGCAGAGTGTGGCGATGGAGACAGCAGCAGCAAAGGGAGGCCGTACAGGGACCCATGAGAGACTCTGGACCTGGCAGCAGCATGAGGAGGCGGTATAGGGGCCCATGGCAGATTAGGGGCCTGGCAGCAGCTATGGGAGGCCCGTAATCTGCCAGCACCCTATGTCAAAAAATTCAACACACCAGCAGTGTGAGGAGACCTGAAAGTGGCACATGGCAGAGTGATGGCGATGGAGACAGCAGCAATGGGAAGCCTACAGGGACCCATGACAGACTCTGGACCCTGGCAGCAGCATGAGGAGGCGGTATAGGGGCCCATGGCAGATTAGGGGCCTGGCAGCAGCTATGGGAGGCCCGTAATCTGCCAGCACCCCTATGACAAAAAATGGAACACACCAGCAGTGTGAGGAGACCTGAAAGTGGCACATGGCAGAGTGTGGCGATGGAGACAGCAGCAATGGGAGGCCGTACAGGGACCCATGAGAGACTCTGGACCTGGCAGCAGCATGAGGAGGCGGTATATAGGGGCCCATGGCAGATTAGGGGCCTGGCAGCAGCTATGGGAGGCCCGTAATCTGCCAGCACCCTATGTCAAAATTCAACACACCAGCAGTGTGTGAGGAGACCTGAAAGTGGCACATGGCAGAGTGTGGCGATGGAGACAGCAGCAATGGGAGGGCCGTACAGGGACCCATGACAGACACTGGACCTGGCAGCAGCATGAGGAGGCGGTATAGGGGCCCATGGCAGATTAGGGGCCTGGCAGCAGCTATGGGAGGCCCGTAATCTGCCAGCACCCTATGTCAAAAAATTCAACACACCAGCAGTGTGAGGAGACCTGAAAGTGGCACATGGCAGAGTGTGGCGATGGAGACAGCAGCAATGGGAGGCCGTACAGGGACCCATGAGAGACTCTGGACCTGGCAGCAGCATGAGGAGGCGGTATAGGGGCCCATGGCAGATTAGGGGCCTGGCAGCAGCTATGGGAGGCCCGTAATCTGCCAGCACCCTATGTCAAAAAATGGAACAACACACCAGCAGTGTGTGAGGAGACCTGAAAGTGGCACATGGCAGAGTGTGGCGATGGAGACAGCAGCAATGGGAGGCCGTACAGGGACCCATGAGAGACTCTGGACCTGGCAGCAGCATGAGGAGGCGGTATAGGGGCCCATGGCAGATTAGGGGCCTGGCAGCAGCTATGGGAGGCCCGTAATCTGCCAGCACCCTATGTCAAAAAATTGAACACACCAGCAGTGTGAGGAGACCTGAAAGTGGCACATGGCAAATGTGACAGCAGCAATGGGAGGCCGTACAGGGACCCATGACAGACACTGGGACCTGGCAGCAGCATGAGGAGGCGGTATAGGGGCCCATGGCAGATTAGGGGCCTGGCAGCAGCTAGGGAGGCCCGTAATCTGCCAGCACCCTATGACAAAAAATGGAACACACCAGCAGTGTGTGGAGACCTGAAAGTGGCACATGGCAGAGTGTGGCGATGGAGACAGCAGCAATGGGAGGCCGTACAGGGACCCATGAGAGACTCTGGACCTGGCAGCAGCATGAGGAGGCGGTATAGGGGCCCATGGCAGATTAGGGGCCTGGCAGCAGCTATGGAGGCCCGTAATGCCAGCACCCTATGTCAAAAAATTGAACACACCAGCAGTGTGAGGAGACCTGAAAGGCACATGGCAGAGTGTGGCGATGGACCTGACAGCAGCATGAGGAGGCCGTACAGGGGACCCATGGCAGATGGCAGCAGCATGAGGAGCCTGGCAGGCCCATGGCAGATTATGGGGCCTGGCCCGTAGCTATCTGCCAGGCCCGTAATCTGCCAGCACCCTATGTCAAAAAATTCAACACACCAGCAGTGTGTGAGGAGACCTGAAAGTGGCACATGGCAGAGTGTGGCGATGGAGACAGCAGCAATGGGAGGCCGTACAGGGACCCATGAGAGACTCTGGACCTGGCAGCAGCATGAGGAGGCGGTATAGGGGCCCATGGCAGATTAGGGGCCTGGCAGCAGCTATGGGAGGCCCGTAATCTGCCAGCACCCTATGTCAAAAAATTGAACACACACCAGCAGTGTGAGGAGACCTGAAAGTGGCACATGGCAGAGTGTGGCGATGGAGACAGAGCAGCAATGGGAGGCCGTACAGGGACCCATGAGAGACTCTGGACCTGGCAGCAGCATGAGGAGGCGGTATAGGGGCCCATGGCAGATTAGGGGCCTGGCAGCAGCTATGGGAGGCCCGTAATCTGCCAGCACCCTATGTCAAAAAATTGAACACACCAGCAGTGTGTGAGGAGACCTGAAAGTGGCACATGGCAGAGTGTGGCGATGGAGACAGCAGCAATGGGAGGCCGTACAGGGACCCCCATGAGAGACTCTGGACTTGGCAGCAGCATGAGGAGGCGGTATATAGGGGCCCATGGCAGATTAGGGGCCTGGCAGCAGCTATGGGAGGCCCGTAATCTGCCAGCACCCTATGACAAAAAAATTCAACACACCAGCAGTGTGTGAGGAGACCTGAAAGTGGCACATGGCAGAGTGTGGCGATGGAGACAGCAGCAATGGGATGGCCGTACAGGGACCCATGAGAGACTCTGGACCTGGCAGCAGCATGAGGCACGCAAAGGCCCTGAGGAGGCGGTATAAGGGGCCCATGGCAGATTAGGGGCCTGGCAGCAGCAGCTATGGGAGGCCCGTAATCTGCCAGCACCCTATGTCAAAAAATTGAGACCACACAGCACCAGCAGTGTGTGAGGAGACCTGAAAGTGGGGCCTGGCAGCACATGGCAGAGTGTGGCGATGGAGACAGCAGCAATGGGAGGCCGTACAGGGACCCATGAGAGACTCTGGGACCTGGCAGCAGCATGAGGGAGGGTATATAGGGGCCCATGGCAGATTAGGGGCCTGGCAGCAGCAGCTATGGGGAGGCCCGTAATCTGCCAGCACCCTATGTCAAAAAATTGAGAACACACCAGCAGTGTGTGAGGAGACCTGAAAGTGGCACAAGGCAGAGTGTGTGCGATGAGACAGCAGCAATGGGAGGCCGTACAGGGACCCATGAGAGACTCTGGACTTGCAGCAGCATGAGGAGGCGGTATAGGGGCCATGGCAGATTAGGGGCCTGGCAGCAGCTATGGGAGGCCCGTAATCTGCCAGCACCCTATGTCAAAAAATGGAACACACACAGCAGTGTGATGAGGAGACCTGAAAGTGGCACATGGCAGAGTGTGGCGATGGAGACAGCAGCAATGGGAGGCCGTACAGGGACCCATGAGAGACTCTGGACTTGGCAGCAGCATGAGGAGGCGGTATATAGGGGCCCATGGCAGATTAGGGGCCTGGCAGCAGCTATGGAGGCCCGTAATCTGCCAGCACCCTATGTCAAAAAATTCAACACACCAGCAGTGTGAGGGAGACCTGAAAGTGGCACATGGCAGAGTGTGGCGATGGAGACAGCAATGCAATGGGAGGCCGTACAGGGACCCATGTGGAGACTCTGGACCTTGGCAGCAGCATGAGGAGGCGGTATAGGGGCCCATGGCAGATTAGGGGCCCTGGCAGCAGCTATGGGAGGCCCGTAATCTGCCAGCACCCTATGTCAAAAAATTGACACACCAGCAGTGTGTGAGGAGACCTGAAAGTGGCACATGGCAGAGTGTGGCGATGGAGACAGCAGCAATGGGAGGCCGTACAGGGACCCATGAGAGACTCTGGACCTGGCAGCAGCATGAGGAGGCGGTATAGGGGCCCATGGCAGATTAGGGGCCTGGCAGCAGCTATGGGAGGCCCGTAAATCTGCCAGCACCCTATGTCAAAAAATGGAACACACCAGCAGTGTGTGAGGAGACCTGAAAGTGGCACATGGCAGAGTGTGGCGATGGAGACAACCCACCGACTGTTTTGCTCGCTGCCAAGCTGCCACCCTCTTCTCCTGATGATGCGGAAGCAATAGCCTGATGACGACGAGGCTGCCAAGTGCGATCAGCCTCATCATCATCAATTAGGGTCTCCGCCTCACTACTAGCCCCCTCGGCTGCGTGTGGGTCAGGAGACAGACCTGTCTCTCTAGACCGGCTACCGAGCCACTCTCCTCGCCACTACTTCTTCGCCTGGCTGCTGAAGAGGCGGATGTCTCCCCCCGTTCCTGACCGCCCTCTGTTAGCTCTTCCTCACTGTACTGGATGACACCGGGAGCACTAGCCTCTGGCTGCGAATAGTGCTGCCCTCGACCCCTTCCTCTGCTGCCACGTCTGCTCGCCCTCCTAAAACATTGCCTCCTCTGCCACTCCTCTGCATGTTGTCTGTCTGACATACTCTTTAATTAAACGATTCTGTGTCCCTGAGTAACAATTCTGTGTCCCTGAGTAAAACGTTTCTGTGGCCCTAAGTAACAGTTCTGTGGCCCTAAGTAACAATTCTGTGTGCCCTAAGTAACAATTCTGTGGCCCTCAGTAACAATTTCTGTGTCCCTCAGTAACAATTCTGTGTCCCTCAGTAACAATTCTGTGTGCTGTCCCTGAGTAACAATTCTGTGTCTGTCCCTGAGTAACAATTCTGTGTCCCTGAGTAACAATTCTGTGGCCCTAAGTAACAATTCTGTGTCCCTCAGTAACAATTCTGTGTCTGTCCCTGAGTAACAATTCTGTGTCCCCTCAGTAACAATTCTGTGTCCCTGAGTAACAATTCTGTGTCCCTGAGTAACAATTCTGTGTGTGTCCCTGAGTAACAATTCTGTGGCCCTCAGTAACAATTCTGTGGCCCTCAGTAACAATTCTGTGTCCCTGAGTAACAATTCTGTGGCCCTAAGTAACGGTTCTGTGGCCCTCAGTAACAATTCTGTGTCCCTCAGTAACAATTCTGTGTCTGTCCCTGAGTAACAATTCTGTGGCCCTGAGTAACAATTCTGTGGCCCTCAGTAACAATTCTGTGTCCCTGAGTAACAATTCTGTGGCCCTAAGTAACAATTCTGTGGCTGTCCCTCAGTAACAATTCTGTGTCCCTGAGTAACAATTCTGTGGCCCTAAGTAACAATTTCTGTGGCCCTCAGTAACAATTCTGTGTCCCTGAGTAACAATTCTGTGTCTGTCCCTGAGTAACAATTCTGTGGCCCCTGAGTAACAGTTCTGTGGCCCTCAGTAACAATTCTGTGTCCCTGAGTAACAATTCTGTGTGCCCTAAGTAACGGTTCTGTGGCCTCAGTAACAATTCTGTGTCCCTGAGTAACAATTCTGTGTCTGTCCCTGAGTAACAATTCTGTGGCCCTAAGTAACAATTCTGTGGCCCTCAGTAACAATTCTGTGTCCCTGAGTAACAATTCTGTGGCCCTAAGTAACGGTTCTGTGGCCCTCAGTAACAATTCTGTGTCCCTGAGTAACAATTCTGTGTCTGTCCCTGAGTAACAATTCTGTGGCCCTAAGTAACGTTCTGTGGCCCTCAGTAACAATTCTGTGTCCCTCCCTGAGTAACAATTCTGTGGCCCTAAGTAACGGTTCTGTGGCCCTCAGTAACAATTCTGTGTCCCTGAGTAACGTTTCTGTGGCCCTAAGTAACGGTTCTGTGGCCCTCAGTAACAATTCTGTGTCCCTCAGTAACAATTCTGTGTCTGTCCCTGAGTAACAATTCTGTGGCCCTAAGTAACGGTTCTGTGGGCCCTCAGTAACAATTCTGTGTCCCTGAGTAACAATTCTCGTGTCTGTCCCTGAGTAACAATTCTGTGGCCCTAAGTAACAATTCTGTGGCCCTCAGTAACAATTCTGTGTCCCTGAGTAACAATTCTGTGGCCCTAAGTAACAATTCTGTGGCCCTCAGTAACAATTCTGTGTCCCTGAGTAACAATTCTGTGGCCCTAAGTAACAATTTCTGTGGCCCTCAGTAACAATTCTGTGTCCCTGAGTAAAATTCGTGTTCTGTGGCCCTAAGTAACAATTCTGTGGCCCTAAGTAACAACAATTCTGTGTCTGTCCCTGAGTAACAATTCTGTGGCCCTAAGTAACGGTTCTGTGGCCCTCAGTAACAATTCTGTGTCCCTGTCCCTGAGTAACAATTCTGTGGCCCTAAGTAACGGTTTCTCTGTGCCCTCAGTAACAATTCTGTGTCCCTGAGTAACAATTCTGTGTCCCTCCCTGAGTAACAATTCTGTGGCCCTAAGTAACGGTTTCTGTGGCCCTCAGTAACAAATTCTGTGTCCCTGAGTAACAATTCTGTGGCCCTAAGTAACAGTTCTGTGGCCCTCAGTAACAATTCTGTGTCCCTCAGTAACAATTCTGTGTCTGTCCCTGAGTAACAATTCTGTGGCCCTAACTAACGTTTCTGTGGCCCTCAGTAACAATTCTGTGGCCCTCAGTAACAATTCTGTGTCCCCTGAGTAACAATTCTGTGGCCCTAAGTAACAATTCTGTGGCCCTCAGTAACAATTCTGTGTCTGTCCCTGAGTAACAATTCTGTGGCCCTAAGTAACGGTTCTGTGGCCCTCAGTAACAATTCTGTGTCCCTGAGTAACAATTCTGTGTCTGTCCCCTGAGTAACAATTCTGTGGCCCTAAGTAACAGTTTCTGTGGCCCTAAGTAACAATTCTGTGTCCCTGAGTAACAATTCTGTGGCCCTAAGTAACAGTTCTGTGGCCCTCAGTAACAATTCTGTGTCCCTGAGTAACGTTTCTGTGGCCCTAAGTAACAATTCTGTGGCCCTCAGTAACAATTCTGTGTCTGTCCCCTGAGTAACAATTCTGTGGCCCTAACTAACGTTTCTGTGGCCCTAAGTAACAGTTCTGTGGCCCTCAGTAACAATTCTGTGGCCCCTAAGAGTAACGTTTCTGTGGCCCTAAGTAACAATTCTGTGGCCCTCAGTAACAATTCTGTCTGTACCTGAGTAACAATTCTGTGGCCCTAACTAGCGTTTCTGTGGCCCTAAGTAACGATTCTGTGGCCCTCACTAACAATTCTGTGTCCCTGAGTAATGTTTCTTCTGTC